CTCCAGCTCTGCGACTTTAGCCTGTACGGCGCTCAAGGCTCTCTCTTGCTGCTGCATCTTGGCCACCTGCTGAACATGAATGAACAAAACGAGAAGACAAGCAAAGGCTAAAAAAAAGAGCTAGGAAAGTGTCGGTTCCCAGCCCGAGGGACCTCAATTTGGCATATCTCTTGCACCGCTTCGCGAGACTCCGTGCTGCCGCCCGACTGTACGCTACCGTGAGGGTCGCCAGCAGATACGGCTTCGCCATCGGGACCTCAGATCTGTAGCTCCGCGATTCCCAGAGGCTCGAAAATCCTTTACTTGAGGAGTATCACTCGGTCCCTCGCCTCACAGAACGGACTTCAGCGTGAGTTTAAGCTGCTCCCCCTTAATGAAGGGGTTATGGAGTCTTTAGGTTAGGTTGATGTAGCGATAACGAGCTCATGGGTGGCCTACACGCACGACAGGCTCCCCTTCCTGCTGGCCACCCCAATCCGGCCAGCATTAGGACACTGAACGAAATAGCTCAGAAATGCTTTGTTAAGGCTTCAGGACTATATGGTCAGATGCATGAAGAAGCAAAGCAGGTAATCACCGGATGTGCAGAACACCTCCCCGAAAAGCCGTAGCCTTGGAAAGCAAGCAGTAAGGAGAGTAAGTAGAATAGACAGAACATACTCAGTGGCTGGCAAAACAACAACGTGCGAGCCACAACCTTTTGAGCAAAGCCAAGTGGCCTTTGCTGCCAGGGGGACCTACGCTCCCGGGCGGGCTCCAAACCCCAGCTTTGCACGGTGTCGGTGCCTCTGAGCCTTCGGTGCCTGGGTTTAGTATCCATGTTTATCGGGCAAGGGCTTCATGAGCAGCAAACAAAAGGAACTCTGTCAAATCTACCCGACGTTCCCGAGTTCAGGTAGGGTGCAGAAGAAACTCACAGGGCATTTCTGCGCACCTCCATCTTCCAACAGACCAGCTGCGCAGGGTGCGACCCGCTCCGCTGCGCAGAAATAGCCCGCTGGGCACGGTGTTGCCTCCCAAGCGCCCACCTGCACGCGGCACTCCTGCTGGAAAGTGGCAAGCTGGCCACGCAACGCACTGCACCGACGGAGCTGCGGAATCTTAGAACCCCACGTTGCAGCCAGGAAGGCTTCGCCAAGCACACTTGACGCCCGGCCCTCGAGAGACCAGCACGGAGAGTCATGCATCTCGCCGATCTTGACCGGCAACGCCGCCTTTACCGGCGAATGGCGATTTGTCGTGTCCCCAATGCCAAGCCGGCCATGACCATTGTCGCCCCAGGTCCACAGAACGCCAGAGTCCGTGATCGCAGCTGTCTGAACACCTCCAGCAGCCACGGCCACCATCTTCTGGCCGTTCACGCTCACCTTGCCTGGGAAATGGCGATGTGTCGTGTCCCCAACGCCAAGCTGGCCATAGCTGTTGTGTCCCCAGGTCCACAGCTCGCCAGAGTCCGTGATCGCAGCGGTGTGGGATCCTCTAGCAGCCACGGCCACCATCTTCTGGCCGTTCATGCTCATCTTGACCGGGGCATGGCGATCCTTGGTGCCCACAATGCCAAGCCGGCCATGAGCATTGTGGCCCCAGGTCCACAGCTCGCCAGAGTCCGTGATCGCAGCGGTGTGGTATGCTCCAGCAGCCATGGCCACGATCTTCTTCCCGTTCACGCTCACCTTGTCTGGGGTATGGCGATCCTTGGTGTCACCAACACCAAGCTGGCCAAGATGATTCTTTCCCCAGGTCCACAGCTCGCCAGAGTCCGTGATGGCACCGGTGTAAGCAGTTCCAGCAGCCACGGCCACAATCTTCTGGCCGTTCACGTTCACCTTGACCGGGGATTGGCGATCCGTGGTGTCACCAATGCCAAGCTGGCCATTGTCATTGCTGCCCCAGAGTCCGTGATGGCAGAGGTGTGCCAAAATCCAGCAGCCACGGCCACGATCTTCTGCCCGTTCACGCTCACCTTCGCTGGGGTATGGCGATTCGTGGTGTCTCCAATGCCAAGCTGGCCTTCAGAATTCCGGCCCCATGTCCACAGCTCGCCAGAGTCCGTGATCGCAGCGCTGTGAGACACTCCAGCGGCGACGGCCACGAACTTCTTGCCATCAAATGCTACCTGCAGAAAGGCATGTTGCTCAACAGTGCCACCGGTGCCCAGCTGGCCGTCGTTGTTATAGCCTGCTGCCCAGATTTGGCCTAAGTTGGAGACAACCAGCGTGTGGTGGTGCCCGGCAGCCAGGGGCACCAGGTCTCCCCAGGTTCCGTTTACCAAGGCCTCCAGGTCCTGGCCCTTGCAGACATGCCCAGGTGGACAGGGCAAAGGCTCGGCGCTGCCTTCCGGGCAGTAGTGGCGATTTGGGCACAGAACCGGCTGACCTTCGGGGGCAGAGAAAAGAGAAGTGCAATTTTAGAGACTAACATCGAACAGCACAACGTGGGACCGAAACCGAGGTTTCGACACTGAAGGTCCTAAGTCAAGATCCTACCATGATGGGTCTAAGTTATGGTCTCATCTTGTCTGAAACTCCTGGGTAAAAAGTTGATGGCTGGTCCAAGGCACGAGTCTGCGCAGGGCAGTAGTAGCCCTTGGGGCACGGCTGGGCGTCCTCTGCACGCACCCACCAACTCGAA